ATATACATTATTCTTTAAATTGTTCAACAAAAACAAAGCCATCTTTAATCTCATCTACCTTTACTGCACTTCACATAGTTAAGAGGATATTCTATGGTCCTATCTCAATGTGATTCTTATTCTTGTTGTTGTTGTTTTTGTTGTTCTTTTTTTCTTTTTTCTTTTTTTAATAATGTTCAATTTATTTTTTACAACCTAATATTTGGATTACGAGTTACCATTTCTTAAATTCTCTTTTAATACTAACAAGGTTCGAACAATGCACACAGGGTTCTTTTGAATTCATACTTTTCAATATTATACTTTTCTAACAAGGTCATCATTAACAAGGTTCTATATATTATTAATATTATGGTAATAATAATAGTAACAATAAAAATAAATCATTCATTTTTATCAACAAACAAGCTACGTATTTATAATTTTATTATATACTATTTTAAGACTACTGACCTTAAAGCTAACACATAATATTTTTTAAAATCAATATGTTTATTTATATATTAAAAGAGTTGGTCTTCTTCAGTAGCACTTTCAAAATTACTGTTTCACAAATACAATTTTGCTTTTTTTTATCTCGCAGTTTATGTTTTTAATAGAATAAAATATCCACTTCAGACCAGATCTGTGTCACACAACATAATACCTTGTTAAATTTGAAACGTCAAAATTAATAAACTGTAAAATGTATAAATGGATTTTTATCAAAAATATTGATAAAATAAATGAATTATTACAAAATAACTAAGGTTTTATGTATTTTATCACAAGCAATGCATTCTCTTAAAATTTGATCATTTATTGAGGTCTAGTATTTGTGATTGAGTCATGAATTTTAACTTGATTGTTCTTCCTTTCTGGCAATTGTTTTATAATCTTATCTATAAAGCATAATTCTTTTTTGTAATTTAAATTCTGTTTTATTATACTGTTTTCAACTATGGTAGATTGTTTCCAAAAAAGTTCAATTTTTTTGTGACAAGTTAGAATGTCAGTTCGAAAATTAAAGTTTTGCCAATGTGTAGATGCTTTATGATATTTGAAATGAATCATCTTTCAAAAAGATACATTTTTTAAAATCCAATCTTTAAAAATATTATTTTAAAAACATGTTTTCTTATACTGTAGAAATTTTTAGCAAATTTATTCTTTGGTTTAACTCTCACAAGCTTGTCAAACATTCAGTTTTATTATTATGTAACACAATTTTTGTATAGATTTATCATGGCTTTATGAAGTTTAGTTCATTTATTCATTGAAAAAATATTTACATATTTTACTTATATGTGAGTATGCATTTGGATTACTAAGCTTTTGGTATTGATAAAATATCAATATATTTTCACACTCACAATGACTCAAGAAAACAAAAAAATACAAAATAAAAACAAAAAAAATACAAAAAATTGCATTAATTCTGCACATTCATGGTATGTAATGATCTTACATATTGAATATTAAGGGGATTCAAACTTAAGGTTATTGGATAATCAAATATCATGAGTTTTAGGTTTTTAGGAAACCAAATATCATAGGTCACTCAAAATATCACCTCCTAAATTATTACGGTTCAAACTTTATTATCTCCTTTAAGTTTCTAAAATATCACTTGATATTTTGTTGATTTGGAAAAGTCAAAGAGCAATGTGGTATAGAATTTAAGAAGGAAGATAGCTAAGGCAAGCATGAAAATTTTTAATATTTCATTGGCCCTTTGTGTAATATTTGGATTTCAAAATCATCCACCTCACGAGGTGGGTGATTTTCAAGTATCACGTGATATTTCAAAATATCACGAGATACTTTGAGATATCATCACTATAAAAATATCACCTAAAAATCTTAAGTTTGAATCTCTTTTTTTTAAGGATTTCAAACTTAATATTTTTGGACAACCAAATATCATACATTTTTTATTTTTGGTTTTTGGAAATCCAAATATCATGTATCATTCAAAATATCACCTCTCTAAATACCATTATTTAGACTAAAATATTGCCTTCAAGTTTGTTAAGTATCACTTGATATTTTCATGACATACCAAGTGATATCAAGTCAACCTAACATGTCAACTTAATATTCAAGAACAAACCTTTTCACTATTTTGAATTATTAATTATGCCTCTGAAGAAGGTCATAAATCATGTACACAATGACAAAGGAGGTCATTTTGGTATTAATAAATATGTTGCAATTATGAGCTAGTTGGAAGGTCCAATAAATTTCAAAAAAAATACACTTTTAACAAAATAGAGATATCGTCAAGGACATAAATTTCAAAGAAAGAAATTATCAATACACTCTTGTATTACTAAAAAAGACTAAGAAATCACTCAAAAATGGTAGTATATTGAATTAGAATGGCTATTGCTAAAGACAAGAAGACTAGAAAGTCTTGAAACAAAACTAAAGACTAGAAATGCATTGGTAAGAGTAAAGAAGGCTTTACTCTTGCATCCATATATACTCTCTAACTAAGAGCCACATAGAAATCTTCTATAGGACCTCCAACATGTGTTGACTTTGCTAGTCACATGTTTTAACTTGTAAAGAAAGTTATTTATATGTGTACCACATAGTTAGCTTGTTCCACAAGCTATCAACACATATGATACATGGTTAACTTGTTGATGAAGTTTTTAACCTACTAATCAACTACAAACATGTGTAAAGTCAAAATTGCTAATAGGAAGCTTTTCTAGAAGATATTATGAAATTAATCTACATTTATCTACTTCTACATTATCATGTAAGTAACTATTGAAATAAATTTGTATGTTTGTGAAGCAAATGAGCCAGAATAGAGCTTTGGTGGAGTTGGATGCTTAAGTGAAGAAAGCATCAAAGGACAAGTTCAACCTTTTTGCTCCAAATATGTTAAGTCAATTGCATACTTTCAAAGCCTAATTTGCTGCCGCATATGATTGGTTAATAGGTATAGGCATTGGCATTGATGATAAAGATCAAAAACAAGATATATACACAAAGGTTATGAAGTTAGAATACAATTGTCTATTCTTTGACATAATGTATAATTTCTACAGTGCAAGGCCAAACATGACCTCACTCTTCAAAGACTCCACCACGATAATAGATATAATGTTGTTGCAAGACTCTATGGAAATATTGATGACCAATTCACAAAACAAATTTTTTGATTTGAATCTGTTGCCTAAGGAATTGCTTTAGATAAGAATCTTTTAGATAAGATTCTATAATTACTTAGTATTGGATTAAAGATGACAAAAAATAGAATTGAATTTTTTCTAATGTAATATTATTTTTTAAAGATAATAAATAGATTTTTATTTCTTCAAATCAATGTTTCAATTGTTTTGTTGTTTTTACAAAAGTAATCATGTAAAGCTTTTTAAAACAATATATCAAAAGATATAAGAATACTTATGAGATTAAATAGATTTTATATTACTATATATGGATTTTGTCACAAATAAGTATCCATGTATATAGAATAAATAACAACATGAAATTCTTCATAGTATTTGTTAATAAAATGTATTATATGAATATACTATAAAAATAAATAAAAAAATAGACACATAGTAAATAGATAATCTTTTTGAATTGTAAATAATCTAAAATGAGATAAATATCAACTAAATTAGAACTAATTTGATACATGAACTAAATGATGATAAAATGAAGGTTATTAAAAAAATAAACCATTTGGATTAAAGAACAACTTTTTATAGGAGTATTTTTAATAACAGTTTGGCCAATTAAGAAATAAGCAATTGTGCTAAAATATACAAACAAAGTTTTTTTTTTTTTATTGTTGCAACTTGATTTTTCAAAAGAATATAATAAAGTCTCTTGGATTTGTCTAGTAACTAAAATTTGGACTACTATCTAATACTAATAGATGTAATAAATTTGTTAATTAAGAAAAAAAATGCAAGTATTTCTAAATAAATCTGAAGTATGTTTAATTAATAAATATACTTAAGATTTTAGCATATTGAATAAATATAGGAACCACAATTATGAGCATTAGAATACAACCAATTTTCTATTTTTATGATCTTTATGTAGATTAGGATATTTATAGATAATATAAAGGTCAAATCAATTATCTATAATCTTTAACAAAATAATACTCAAAACTCAAAAGTTTGTAAGATCTTGAGTTGTTATGAATGTATATTTGAATAATCAAATAACAAAAGACCTAAAATTAAAGATATAGAATAAGCTATAGTAGCATGGTTGACAAAATAAGATTTAAATATACTACAACTATGTGAATCCTATATCTAATACTTCATAAGGAAAATGTTTAATTTTTTTTAGAACTTAATCCAATTCATATTTGATATCTTTGTTCAAGAAAATTAAACAAAATAAATACCTCATGAATAAAAATTGTTGCCTGTCTTCGACTCCAAACTACAAGTCCTTATACTTTAGAAATCACATTGATAATCAATATAATGATATTTCTCCTCTTCAGTCGACAAAATGGTTTGGATTATTCAACTTATTACATGATGCACTAACTTCTTTAGTATTATAATCTGACTACTACAACGTTAATTTGTGAAACGAAATTATCCCATACGCAATAAGATTGTGAGGTGGATGTAACTATGTAGAGTTGTTCTCTGGATTAACATCATGAAAGGAAATCATCGCCAAAAACTAGAAACTTGAAAAGTCGTCTCTGAAAAAATATCAAGGCGTCCAACTACACGTAGACTGGCTTAGGTAGAAAGAATTATTAATGATATCCAAGTCACAAAAATGCTTTTGAACAGATTGTAACTTTACGTGCAGGCAATTAGTTTCATACAACCATCTAAACAAATTACTTGAATAGCAAAGAGTAATTTACATTGTAGTTCTTGAATTCTGCACATTTGGCAAATACAGAAACCTATGTTTATATCCACCAACCAGATAGTAATTGAAGGGATGAACTGTTCAGTGCTTTCACTGATGTAGCCTTCATGAGCCCAATCTTCAAAAAGAGTACCAGGGCATACGAAAAGTGTTGTTTCTTGCCATTTCAACTTTGCAACAGGGTCACCTTTTTCATGCCGAAAAAAACAAACAAATACGTCTACTGCATCGGTTTCTCCGCGGGCTACAGACTCGAATTGAAATCTTCCAGAAACAACTTTGGCTAATTATTGGTCGCATACAATAAAGGAATTCTTTTAAAAAAACTGTGAGTTCAAAAGTCAGGCTAGGTCTGACAACGACAGACACCCAGTAGTCGGTAAATGAGAAAATAGTTTCGGCATGTCTACGAACCGAAGGACTGCGCACATGTTTAACCTTGTACCCAACAAGAGTTTGCATCTGAAATTGACCGATTTAGTTCTTATAAATCTGCTGTGGGACACCTCAGCAAATCACTTTTAGGAGTATCAACTATAGCGGGTAACTCACTATGTGAGAGTGGGTTGAGTTTGGCCAAGGACAAAATTTGAAGGTTATATGAACAAAAACCGGCTAATCTACAACTGAAAAATACCCAAAATACATACAGGAAGTGTTCTAGATAACCAGCAAACCACAGCAGTTGATAAGAACTAAATCGTGATTATAAGTCATACAGAGTTCAGGTTAACTTTGCACGATCAGGGAAACGCCAGTTGACCCAAATCCACCGTCTCCACGGGCAGTAGCATCTAGATCATCAACTTCCATCACATCAGGAGTGATGATAAGCTCTAGAATAAGTTGGGCGATTCGGTCCCCTGCTTTGATAGTAAAGTCGGAGTCTGAGTGGTTAAAGAGAATGACGCCAACTGGCCCACGGTAATCGGCGTCAATTACTCCAGCACCAACATCGATAGAATTCTTCCATGCCAAACCTGAACGGGGAGCTGCGGATGCAATGGAAAACGCCATTTCGCAGCAAAGTTGAGCCCCAACCGTAGGAATCGAGTTGGCAATTACAAAATATACAGACGTAATAACTTACATTCTTTGATTACAATACTCGGATGAAGAGGTTCAGGACGAATGCTGTATGAATGATAATGACAGCTTGGACTGCGAACGAAAGTACTGTGCATGAGAGGCTAGAGGACAGAATGAACACTCACCGATACGGGCATACGTGCCTTGGGGAATGGCAATGGATAACTCCGTCTTCACAAGGGCCTTACCCCGCGCAGGCACGCATGTATCGTAGGCACTGCAAGGAAAAACACACCAAATATCAGTGCAAGCACTTAAAAGTTTGAAAAGGATAAAGGAAAGAGGATCAAACAGAAACCACTGCGACTGAAAGACGCAAAATCACAGATCAACTTCCGGTGCTAGAAAACACTTAGGACGGAAATACATCTCCATAAGGCAGCCCTACACGATCGCATAACACGATGAAGCCTGAAGAGAAGACTCCTGCTAGATCAAGCTTTAAAGTAAAGTACGATATAAGAGGAATAAGACAAGATTTCAACACCGTGTAATAGGGAAGACAATGCACACCTAGAGAGGTCATAACCAGCGGCAAGAGCGGAACCCCGAGACGGCAAGACTGCACAAGCAGACAACTTCTTGACCCTCAGGGCTTGAGAATCAAGCACCACCCTCCCATTATCATGCAACTTCTGTATCTTGGCCTGCGGCTCCATGGCCACAATCATACGAAAGCTGCTCCGCCTCGCGCCCGCAATGCCGCAGCCTAGCAAAGCGTCCCGTGTAAAGAAGCGCGCTTCCAAGAATGCACCACAACGACTGCCTCCTCTTGGTAACATCAACAGCGGCGAAGTAAGGAAATTGGGCGGAAATCAAAGCAAGTCGCATCAGCAACAGCAAAACCCTACACACTTTCAAACCCAAACCCCCTTCGCGACCGTTGGGAAATGCCGTGATGAGGCGGGAAACCGGTGGAAACTTCCACGAGCCTTCGCGAGCGGCCCATCGTAATACCCGGATACAGTTATACATATACACATACAGTCCAACCTGTCAAATCCAATACCATTCGTGGACGGATATAAGTATACGTCTCGTCCTTGGATGCATTTTTTCTCGTGCCACATCCTCTCGGTGTGGTCAGTGTGGATCAATGTAGTTTTTATTGAACCTCATCCACTTCCTCCCCTTAACCTTTTCCCTTTCGTCAGCCACGTACAAAAGAGACGATTGGCATGCAATAGAGGTGGATTAGAACTCCTTGCATTTGGTTGATTTATAGCATAAAGTGTAGAATCATCTTCCTTATGGTCGATAGCTCATTGAAGACGGCAAACCATGCTCCAAAAATTATAAACAATGCGATCTCTTGTTTGCTCTGCCAAATAAGTAGAAAAATATCTTTTTTTCTTGTTCTTGTCTTACAACACCCACATTTCTGCATAGACACTCTTATTCTTGAATAAACATTTATATAATTCTTGGTTGTTACAAGTCATTATAGAATGTCTTGCATGGATAAAGTCCTTGCAATTGGCAACCTTTGCAATAAGTAGATGAAGACAATATGTATAAGATTTCATAATATACCATTAATGACACAAAAAAAATTGTGGTTTAGGCCAAGAATGAATTCAAACAAACCAAGATGCTTCAACAAGAAGATTGGTATTGAGCTCGGGTTCTATTATTGTAATTAAAAAAAAAGCTTAATTTTTTGGATTTAAAATTAAATTAAATTAAATTCAAGTTATTGACTCCAATTTGAAAGGTATTAATTACAATATTCTTTTTATTCTAGATAACACACCATCATGTATATTATGTATTAGAAAATGTTATTCTTACAAATATTGAAACTCTCTTCTTATCTCCAAATATCACCTCCAAAATATAGCCTATAAATGATGGAATTATTGCTTTTTTGAAAAAGTACTATGAGAGCTTTCATCTTTAATGTGCTAGTGATTGTGAAGAAGATGATAAATCATGTAGTGACATCTATAAGATGGATCAATATCAAGCAATAAGAAAGGTTATGATAGCATGGAATGATATTTTTTCTCATACAATCTCCAACTACTAGAAATATATAAATATTTTGTTACCTTATAATTGAAAAGATGGCTAGCCTAAAATAGAAGACATTTCATGAGATGTATCTTGTAATAAAGAAAAATTATATCCTTTCAACATATTGGAGGATAAATTGGAATTAAAAGAATAATTCATTTATCAAATATTTGAATTCAAAGTGAAAAATTACATGTCTATTGAGATTTTTTTGAATCCAAAAACTGAATAAGAGATTTACCATAAATTTAGAAATAAAGAACTTCTTGAGTTAGCCATTCTTATTGAAAAAGAAATATTGGAAGAGAGGAAAAAAATGGAGTTACATGGGCTCCAACTTAGCTTAGATGTCTAATCTCTAGTACTAGAAGATGCTATCAATATTATAGGTGAGCATTTAGAAAATAATATACTATCTATTTTAAATTCTATAAAGTATTTAGAATGATATTAAATTAGATCTACAAAAGAAAAAATAATAAAAAAACATGATTATTTTGTTCATTAGTCCTTTAGCATCTTCTTTTGTAGAAATAATTTTTTTTAATAAATTTTATACCTAAAAAATCTATTTTTTATTAATAAATTTGTTAAATATCAAGTATTGATGACTATCGGTTATCAATTGAAAAACCAAGTTGGTGGCCTAAAATTGTATTTATTATTAAATCATATTGAATATAATAATATTAGTTGTGATAAATTTAATAATATATAGTTAGTTATATTTATATAAATTTACAAAAATCATATTCAGCCAAATGTCATAGACATATATAGTAACTCTAAAATTTATCTACATGATTAAGTAGAAGTAAGAAAAAATAGATTTATTTCATAATATTTTTTAGGAAACCTTTTTAGAAGCTTCATAGATGCTCTTTAAACTTTACATGTACTTGTAGTTGATTGAAAGGTTAAAAACTTGGTCAACAAATTATCCACATATTGATAGCTTGCAAAATAAGCTAATTATGTAGCATACATATAGAAAACTTGTCTTACGAGTTAAAATATGTATCTTACAAAGTCAACATGTTTTAGACGTCCCATAGAAGATTGCCATATAGCTCCTAATTAAGAGTATACATAGAGGCAAGGATGAAGCCATTTTCACTCTTTTCAACACCTTTTTAGTCCTTACTCTTGTTTCAAGATTCTCTAATCTTCTTATCTTTGGCAATAGTTGTTATGGACATGATTCACAAAGAAAGAAATCCTCAATACACTCTTATGTCACTGTAAAGAACTAAAAAGTCACTCAAAGATGATATATTATTGAACTAAAATGACTATTGCCAAAAACAAGAAGATTATAATGTCTTTTAATAAGACTTAAGACTAGAAAGGCATTGACAAGAATGAAGAAGGCTTTGCTCTTTTCTTCATATACATTCTTAATTAGGAGTTATGTAGTGATGTCCTATAGAACCTCTAAAATGTATTAATTTTGTAAGACAAGTATCTTGACTTGCAGGGCAAGTTCTTTATATGTTTGCCACATAATTAACTTATTTTGTAAGCTATCAACAAGTAGTTAACTTGTTGACCAAGTTTCTAACCTACCAATCAATTATAAATATATGCTAAATCAAAGTAGCATCTATAAAGCTTTTAAGAAGCTTTTTTAGAAGGTATTATGAAATTAATCTATTTTTATCTATCATTATCTACTTCTATCTAATCAAATAGGTATTTATTAGAATATATATATATATATATATGATATTATTCTCCCTTTTAGAGACGAATTCTATCAGGAGTAGTCATCATGTATTGATGAAATTTAAGATACAATAAATTCTATTTGCTACATATTCTGATCTTTATTCTCTTTGAAGATAATTAATAGGTCCTCTCAACCATTGATAGTGTTTAACACCATGGTAGGAAGACCACTCTATTATTTTATTATTGTTGACGCCTTTGTAACTTCTTTCAATTAAAATATTTAAAATAATATTAGGAGTTGTTTCTATCGCTAATAAAATCATCAAATATAGAGAGTCTCTTTCAAAGTCACATTACCAAATACCTTATATCTTGCCATCTATCATGTCATTCTTAAGAATCTTAATCTTGATTATGTTGTCTTGAAGGTTGTGACAATTGTAATATCTCGTTCAGTAAGTCAGCAAGTAAAAACTCTTAAGTTGAATCTACTAGTTTTTTCTCTATCACCTTAGCGTAATAAATATACAAAAGCTACAAACAAGAATAGAGGATAGAATATTATCTTCCTTGAATAATGTTTCTTTTATAGCAAAGATTTGTTATTCTTCATCTTGATTTTGATGGATAGCATCAATGAATTTGTTGTATTGATAGGATTCTTTGTTAATTCCTATGTATTTTCACTAATATCATATCTGCACCAATGAACAAGATATTCAAACCTATTTTGGTATTGCATTAAATCTAAGACATCATCCATCTTAAATTTTTGATTATTATCCACTTTTATAGAAGAAGGTGGCATTTATCTTCTTGCTAAAATATTCACAATCTTATATGGCTTAAAAAGAGATACTTGAAATATAGAACGGATCTTTAAAGACTTTGATAGATATAATCAATAAGGAATAAGATTAAATTGTTTACTAATAGAAAAATGTCCAATCCTGCAATAATCCAACTTGTCAAAATGACAAGTACTTTTGATATTGTAATGAAGTAACCATACTTTGTCATCCACTTTAAATTGAGGTTGTTTCTTACAATGGTCATCTATATTAATCTTTTGTTGTTCTTGAACTCTTTTTAACTACATCTATAATTGTTGTATGTAATTTTAATAAATAAATTACCAAATCTTTTATTGTAGGATTATCAATTTTTTAAAAGTCAAAACTATCAAGTCGTCAATGATAATCATAATTGATAAAAAAAAATAGTTGTTGAGTGGAATAATGTACCAAATTATTATATGTAAACTTGGTCAATGGTAAAAGAGTTGTGTAATCATTTTGATGATAATTGATGATATACCTCAAGTATTGTTTTAAAACTTTATTCATTTTTTTCATTTGTCCATCAATTTGAGGATAAAAAGTCATAGAGAGCTTTATATCCATCTTTAAAATCTTAAAAACGATTTTCCAAAATCTTGATATAAATTGAGTTCTCCTATCTAATATAATATCTTCCATTTGTAATAATACTACACCTAAGGCAAAGTTTGATGCATTTTTTTTCATAAAAAATGTCTTTGAGAAATCAATACAATATAAGATAAATGCAAAAGTAATCTCTTTTTTTAAAGAATCAAACAATGCTTTGGCTTCTTTACTCTACTCAAGTTTATTTTTACAAGACAAACATATAGGTGGAGTTGCAACTTTAGAAAAATTCTTGATGAAGATTTGATAGTAACTAATTCTTCATAACTCTTTCATTAGGAATTATGTATCCTAGGAAGTCAACTTGACTAGTGGAAATACACATTTTTCTAATTTGGCATATAATCTTGCATCTCTAGGTTTTTATAACGCACAAAAAATATGAACTTCATACTCTTCTATATTTTTAGAATAGATTAAGATGTTGCTTAAATAATAGATGACAAATTCATTAATAAATTCACAAAAGGCATCATTCATTAAATGTTGAAAAGTAGTTGATATATTTGTGAGTCAAAAAGGCATGATATTGTATTCAAAATAACTACACTTGGTTTGAAACGTAGTTTTTCAATCATCTCTTTCTATGATGCATATTAGATTATATACTCCTTGTAGATCTATTTTTGTATGGAACTATGCGTGTTTGATTTGATAAAAAAGTCTTGAAATTAAAGATAGAGGATACCAATTCTTGATAGAAATCTTGTTGAATCTTTGATAGTCCATACACATCTAC